GGTCGGTTGGTTGGTTTTGCTGTGGTATGGATGAACTGAGGGCCTCATACATGCTGTGAGGCATGCTACTCTGAGCTACATCTCAGCCCCACTTCACTTTATTTCCAAATGTCAAATAAATAACTTGAAGAAACTTCTTTGCATACCTGTAAAGCAAAATAGTTGTATTCACTTATCTTGAGGAGCCATAGACATTTTAGCTTCATATTCGGAGGCAGCATTGTTGAAAGGTCAAATAAATTTAGTCTCTGGAGGATGACTTTTAGTCAAGATTTTGCCCTTAAGTATATCTATCCTAGGAACCTTATTTGTGTGTGGTGGGTTTCACTTATTGGCAGAGACTAAACATAATAAGCAGCTCCATTTCAAAGAATAATACTTTTCACCTAGTTCTTTGAATTATCAATATGTGTGTGAAAAGATTTATTTTTTTTTAAAACCTGCTATTCTAACTACAAAAAAGGAAAAGAAATATATATTTTAACCACTAGATTAGTAACCATTTTTAATCATCTGAGGAGTTTTTCAGTCTGTTTTTTTAGTCTGTTCCGGTCTTCTCTGGAACAAAATACAACAATAGAAATTTATTTGCTCACAGTTTTAAAGGTTAGATATATAAGACCAAAATTCCTAAAGGTTCATTATGTGGTGAGGTATCTTCCTGACCTACAAGTGCTACCTCTAGTACCTTCCCATCTTTCTCCCTTCCTCTTCTCCTAAGCCCCATCAATCCTGTAAGGTAGAGCTCCACCCTAAGACCTCAGGAAATCCTCAATCCTCTGCTAAAGGCTGTATCTTCTAAAGCCACGTTTGGAGTTAGTGTTTCAACATGTGAATTGGAGAGTGGCTGGAAAATAAAATTCAGCCCACTGCAGAGGCTAAGAAGCCCCTTTGCCCAAAAAGTCAATACAAACCTCAGTACATACCATGGAACTTTTAACTTTAAAACCAGTAGTGCTAAAGGAACACTGTTCAGGGCAGCAAAGTAGAAAACAGGAGAGAAACCATCAAAAACGAATAACAAAAAAGAATTTGCTAATAGCTGTGAAATTTTAGGGGGGAAAATGCATGCTAGATAATCCTTCATTAGCCCTAAGGTTTATTTTGAAAACATTTCTTTCTACCTGTGGTTCTATTATCTCCATGCCTAGATTGTAACCTTGTGGCAAAGAGTCAAGAAACTTATGAATACAGAGTGCTCACAGCATCTTCTTTGCTGCACTGGGGATCAGCGACAGGTACAATTTGCTGAGGCTCAGGGTATTTATATTCTGGTTTTCTTTTTGACTTAGCTTTTTAGCAATTAAAGACTGTTGGAAATTGAGTCATAAATTGAACTCAGGGGGTGTGTGTATATGTCTGAGTGTGTGTTGGTGTGTGTACGCATGTGCATGCACACATATGTGTGTATGAATCTGAATGAAAGATTTTTAAATGGAATAACATGCCAAAATCATACACTTTCCAAGTTGAAATAGAACTTAGAAATTACCTCCACCAGCCTTCCAGCACCAGGAAACTCAAACTTAGAAAAAAATTTAAATGACCTGATCCACACTAAAACCACAGGCTATTTAGAGGCCATTGTAAAATGAGAATCTGAGATACATATGTTTTAGTTCAGAGTTTTTACTATACCATCATGTGCTCTGTGATCAAGATGCAACCTGGACTAGCATGGCCCAAGAACCAGCTCACTGCTGTGAGGCTGCTTAGAAATAACTTGATTAACCTCCATTCCAAGTTAAAATTCTAATTATAGAAACTGTAATCTACAGACATAGATACATATATAATATATCTTTAATCTACACATATATACATACATGTATCTGTATATACCTATAATTAAGTATATATTTATAAATTGACTTATCAATTTAAAAGTGAGCTAATTTAACATTTTAACTATACCATACAGATATTTAAACATAACTTTTCTTTACAGTGACATGAACCAAACATCACTGCAATCTTTTAAAAATATAAGGACCTAAATTTTATTACTGATTATTTGTTTAGCCATTCCTGGGACTTGCACTCTGGGCGTGGACGCTGTCCTTGAGATCCTTTTCACTCAAGGCTAGCACCCTACCACTTGAACCACAGCACCACTTCCAACTTTTTCTGAGTAGTTTATTGGAGATAAGAATCTCACAGACTTTTCTGCCTGTGCTGGCTTCAAACCACAATCCTCAGATTTCAGCCTCCTGAGTAGCTAGGATTATAGGTATGACACACCGGTGCCAACCCCCTGGTAGTTTTAAGTGATTACTTATCTCAATTTTTTGGGCTTAAGGAAGTGATTTTAGCCTTTGATTATGTATTAGATAGAATGCATGCCTAATTATAGAATATAATATCATACTTAACATGAACCTAGCATTTGCTAGAAGTCAGCTTTTGAAGTGTTCTGTATGAATTTGTCCCTAGCTGCCTCTTCCCTCTAAGTTCTTTGCCTACATTACCATAGCCTTTTCTTGATCTTTTCTCTTCTTTACAAATGATTCCCAGATCTGTCATAGGTACAAGATTTCCCTGCATGTCTCTACCTGACTGCCATGCTAGTCCTTTAAAGTTTAGTGAAAACATTCAAAGTTCTCTCTGCTTTTTGAAATAGGCAGTATTTTGTCTTTCCAGGCCCCTGCAATGCAATAGTGCACCAGCACCTCTCACTCCTATTGGACTATAACTTAGAACTCATTGATCAGCCTTTCTCTCCTTTCCTCCTTCCCTATCATTTCTCCCAACCTTTGCTAGCTACCATTCTCTGCTTCTGTGAGACCAACTTTCCTGGCTTCCACATGTGAGTGATATCTGAGGATTGAGTTACAAAGTCAGTCTGGGCAAGAAAGCCCCTAAGACTCTTACCTCCAATTAACAACCCAAAAGCCAGAAGTAGAGCTATAGTGCAAGTGGCAGAGTGCTAGCCTTGAGCAAAAACACTCAAGAACAATGCCTAGACCCTGAGTTTAAACCCCAGGTTTAGCACAAGAACACAAAAAACAAAAAACACCAAAAGGCAACTAAGCACTTAGGTAAAACATCTTGAAGCTTCTTCTGGGAAGAGGAGACTTATGAGAAATTAAGTTATGTCTATGAAAAGGAATTTATTTGATTACTATTGTTGGAGGGTTTCCATTTCTGAGAATAAAAGAGTGAAGAACACTATTTTAATTGCATGTCTGATGAAATCTACTCTTCAGCTAGCTGGGTTGTTGAGTTGGCTCAAGGGCCCAAGACTTGAAAGACTACATTCTTGGCACAGTTCTAAGTCTTCACTATGAATGTAATACTTGGGGTTACCGGAGGTTAATGGAGAGGAAAGAAAATTATTTTGTGCATATTATTTCAGTTAATTCTGTTATCCTGTTGAAAGGAAAAATATCTCTGTTCATGTTTTAGGAGAAGGATAAATTTGAATTTTCAATTTCAAAAGTAGAATTGAGGAAGAGGTGCTGTGGCTCAAGTGGTAGAGCACTCGCCTTGAGCTGAAGAGCTGAGGGACAGCGGCCAGGCCCAGAGTTCAAGCCCCACAGCTGACAGAAAAATAAAAAGTAGAATTGAAGAAAAGATTTCCCCAGGGTTTTATGGATTGTATACTATATAAAAATACGATAGAGACAAGCTAGGTACCAGTGACTCACTTCTATAATCCTAAATACTCAGGAGGCTGAGATCTGAGGATTGCAATTCAAAGCCAGCTGGGGCAGAAAAGTCCATGAAACTCTTATCTCCCAGTAAGTACTTTAAAAAGCCAGAAGTGGAGAAGTGGCTCAAATGTAGAGTGCTAGCCTTGAGCAAAAATGCTAAGGAACGGCACCCAGGCCCTGAGTTAAAATCCCAGTACTGACACAAAAATGAATAAATAAACATAGAGTCAAACAATTCTACACACTGGTACATACTCAAGAGGAATGCTAACATTCGCCCCCACAAAAACTTGTGCATCAATGATTATGGCAGCATGGTCTACAATAGCCAAAAACAAGAAAGAGTTCATAGGTCCACCAACTGGTGGATGTTTGGATGAATTAAATATGGAATATTTATATAGTTAAATGTTACTTAGCAGTGACCAGTAGTAAAACAATCATACTTTACATGATACAGGTGCATAGATGAACTTTGAAATCATTACACTAAATGAAAGAAGTTGATCACAAAACTACAGATCCTGGATAATTCTGTTCTCATGAAATATCCAGAACAGGCCAATCTACAGAGATAGAAAGCAGATTCATGTTTGCTTAGGACTGGGGGACGGGTAGGAGGGTAATGGCTAAAGGGTTTCTTTGTGGTCATGATGAATATACTTTAAATATAACTGATAATGGTACATATCTGTAAATATACTAAAAAACTGAGCTGTTCAGTTTAAATGAGATTATATGTGTGTGAATTATATTTCAATAAAGCAGTTTATAAAGTAACTTAGGGAGAGTTCCAAGGGTCCATCAAAATATAGACTTACATATGTAACCTACTCTGAAGAGTAGGACGCCACACAAGAGTACTGATAATTGTGTATTTAAAACTGAAGCAAAGGGACAAAGTGAGAGGTTTCATAAATGAAGTGATGTTTAGGTGGACTATGAGGGTGGTTGGAATTTGGACACTGTAGACAGAGGAACCATACAGGAAAAGATGAAGTTTGATATGACTTGTGAAATGTATATGAACAATGAACAGACTCATTGTACCACTGGTTTGGAGCCACCTCTGAATGTCTATGAGGTAACTGTTCTGTGTTCTATAGGAAGGAGGGAGACCTTGAAGCATTTTGAGCAGAGATAGGGCATCATCTGAACTGAACTTCAGGAGGATGATCATGTGACTTGTGTTTTTAAGACATTGCCTGGGCTGGCCTCAAACTCCTGAGCGCAAATGATTTCCTACACCCCATTCCCACCCTTCTTAATAACTGGGACTATAACAGTGCACCACTAAGCTTTGATTTTGTCTCTTTAATGCTGTATTTCTCTCTTTTCCCTCCATAGGTACACATAAAATACAAAAGACAGAAGTTACAAAGGAAGAATAAGATACTGCTGCTACAATGCATCTGAGCCAGATGGTGTATCTTGTGCCACACTCAAAAAGGTATGGTGAAGAGGTTTGTGACTTAGGTTTATCTAAACATAGGACCTAATTATATATTCTGGATTTTCTGAATTAATTTTATTTGCAAGAAAAATAAAAGAGTAAGTAAGAATATAAATAAAAGTAGGATAGAATATTTTATGAACGGCTTCAAATTATTTCCTAATAGATTTTCATTATTCTTACTCCTGACCAGGTAGAGAAGAAATAACTTAAAAGAAATAGCTTACTTAAAGTTTCTTCTTTTTTTGTTGTTGCTCGTGTGACTTGAACTCAAGACCTGGACACTGTCTCTGAGCTTTTTCACTCAAGGCTAGCATGCTACCACTTTTTTTTTTTTCATGCTATCACTTTGAACCACAGTGCTACTTCTGATTTTATGGTGGTTAACTGCTGATATAACTGCCAGGTTGGCTTCGCACTGTGATCCTCAGATCTCAGACTCCTGATGAGCTAGGATTACAAGTGTGAGCCACTGGCACCTAGCTTTACTTAAAGTTTATTGGTTCCAATTATCAATTTGTTTTCCAGAAATATATATGTAGCCTTTTTGGTTTTAATACTTTATTGTTAGATTTTGAAATCTAAATGCTTTCTTTGTTAGTCAGCCTTCTGAGACCATAATGAAATACCTGAGATAATAAACTTAGACAGAGAAAAGGTTTACTACTTTGGCTCACAGTGATTGAAGGTTTTGTTCCATGATGGATTGGACCCATGGCTGGAGTGCCTCGTGGAGCAGAGCTTCCCACCTCATGACCATGAAGCAATGGAGGGAATGACAAATGAGCAGGGTACTTAAATGCCCTTGTAGGGCACCCCAATGACCTACAGACCTCCCACAAGGACTCTTACATTCCACTATTTCCCCATAGCCCCACCTTGGGTACTAAGCCTGTAGCCTGGGTTTTAAGGGACATCTAGGGTCCACACCAGATCAGTTTCATGTCACTTCTCTATTTACACAAGGAATAGAAGTTTCAAGACAAATTTTCTAAATACAGATAAGCAAAAAAAAGAAAATGAGTTATCTGAAATCACAATACTTACTTAAGCTAAAACTCAAACTGCAGAGAACTTCAAGTGTGGGTGACATTGTCCAAGAAAAAATGTAGCTGTAACCCCTCTCTGTACATCACCTGTATAATAACAAGAAAAACACAGTAAAAAAGAAAGAAACCCAAGCTTGTAGGCTGAAGAAGCCACACTTTCCTTGTTCACTATCACCACTTTCTGTGCTCAGCCTGCTTCCACCAACCTCTTCTGCTAAAGCAGGATAAGCAAACATGAGCCCTTCCCACTGGGGGAGCCCCCACCCCCTCCCAGGGGCATCACTAGGTCAGGGCACATGGTGCTCCATCCCTCCCAGCAACAGATGAAAGTGACTGCTTCCTTCTGTACTTGCCAAAAAAATAGATTTGCACTATGATCTTGCCAAATTGGCATGTAAAATCAAATGCCTTGTAAGTTTGTGCTTCTTTGATTATTAGTGTAGTTACATGTATTTGATACATTAAGGAGAGCTATTTCTCTTTTGAATTTCTTATTTATAGCTCTTGAGTTGGAGGGAACATGTATGTGTATGTAGATATGTGTACATCTCTAATATTAAGAAAAATTTAACTGGTATGTATTTTGCAAGGATTTTCTCACTTCAGTTGCCTTTCACTTTAATAAATGCATACTTCTATCAGATAGATAGATAGATAGATAGATAGATAGATAGATAGATAGATAGATAGATAGATAGATAGAGATTAAAGCTGATTTTGGTGAAGATAATAAACCTTTCATTCTCTAAAACTTCCTCACACCCCTCTTTAGTCCCTCTTTACCCTCTCACAGCCGCCTTGTCCTAGCCAGCCACTGAAGCTCTGCCTCTTTGTTGGTGTATCTTAGAATTTCATATCACTGACATCATGAAGAATGTACTGGCTTTTTACCTGACTCCCTGACTAGGCATGGCCGGTTTGCAGCTGACCATGTTGTAGCATGCACCAGTCAGTCCCTTGACGGCTGCTGCATTCCATCGCGTGCTTGCTCACCCATTTGTTGATGGACATCTGGACTGCTTCCAGTTCTGGCTATTAAAAAAAAAAATAGACTGTGAACATGGGTGTGAAGGGTTTCCTGGGTAAATCCAAGTGGAATACCTACAACTGTGTAACTTTTTAAGTGTTTTGCTCAAGTGACTACTTTTTTTTGGGTCTGATCATGGGGCCTAAACTCTGGGCCTAGGCACTGTCCCTCAGCTCTTCAGCTCAAGGCTAGCGCTCTACCACTTGAGTCACAGCGCCACTTCCGGGTTTTTTCTTTTTTGCTTATGTGGTGCTGAGGAATCGAACCCAGGGCCTCAGGCATGCAAGGCAAGCGCTCTACCACTGAGCCACCTTCCCAGCCCGAGTGACTGACTACATTCCTGCCTGCAATGTATTAGAGATCCAGTTAATGTAGGCCAAATCTGTTTTGGTTAGGTTTTGGGTGCTTGAACTCTGGGCCTGGGCGCTGTCCCTGAGCTGCTTTGCTCAAGGTGAGCACTCTGCCCCTTGAGCCACAACGCTACTCTGGCTTTTTTTTTTTTTTTGGTCAGTCATGGTGCTTGAACTCTGGGCTTGGGCACTGTCCCTGCACTCTTCAGCTCAAGGTGAGCGTTCTACCGCTTGAGCCACAGTGCCACTTCCAATTTTCTAGTGGTTTATTGGAGATAAACCTGCCCGGGCTGTCTTTGAACTGCGGTCTTCAGATCTCAGCCTCCTGAGTAGCTAGGATTACAGGCGTGAGCTGCCGGTGCCCAGCTTACTCTGGCTTTTTGAGTAGTTTATGGGACTTTCCTGCCTAGGCTGGCTTTGAACCGCTATCCTCAGATCTTGGCATCCTGAGTAGCTAGGATTACAGGCCTGAGCCCTGACACTTGGATTTTTTTTAATGCTAGCCATTCTAATAAGTGTATAGCAACTCCTCACCTCACCATTGTTTCCCTAATGAATAGTGATATTTATAATCTTTTTCAAATTAGGTTATTATTTCTGAGTTTTGCCAATTTTCTATATTTTCTGGATATAGTCTGTTTTGAGATAGGTTTGGTAAAGGTTTTTCCCCAATAACTTGCCTGGCTTTTTAATTTTGTTTTATTATTTTAAGTATTTGTACAAATGGGTTTTAACTCCATGTCATTTATGAGTACAATGTACCTTGATTAGTGCTACCCCTGCCATCAGCCCCCCTCCAAGTTGCCTCTTTTTTTATTCTCCTAAGTGCCTTAAAAAAGCAGATGTTTTCAATTTTGTGCATTTTGCCTTGTATGCCTTTGGCTTTTGGTTCTGATATCAGGAGGTAGGCAAGCCTCATAGGCTGAGACATAGTCATATAAATTGGAACAATCATCCATTTCAATTTTCTACAAGAATTGTATAGAATTGGAGATATTCCCTAGACTCGTGTTAGAAAGCCATCTGAGCCTGGTATTTTCTCTGCAGGAATACTTCAAGTTACAAATTCAATTACTTTAATAGATACAAGCTTATGTAGATTATCTTTTTGTGGAGCAAGCTACAGTGCTTTGTGTCTTTTGAAGTGTTTGTCTCTTGTAAGTTAATGAACTTACTTGTATAATATTGTTCCTCATAGCCCCTGATCTTCTGGTCTCTGAACAGTCTGTACTGATGTCTCTTCTCTCATTCCTGACTTCCAATTTTAAATTTTATGATTTTTTTATATTTTTGTATAACTCTCATATAGTCAATCTGGTAAAAAATGTACAAGTATGATTATTCTTCTCAACAAATTGACTTTGCTTTCATTTATTTTCTTCTTCAGTTTTCTCTGGCTTTTCTTTCATTGATTTTTTACTTTAATCTTTTTTTTGGTATGATTATATTTTATTTTTTTAATTTTTTTATTGTGAAAATACTGTACAGAGGGGTTACAATTACATAGGCAAGATAATGAGTACATTTCTTATCAAGCATTGTAGCCTCCTCCTTTGTTTCCCCTTCCCATCCCTTCCCATCCTCCCCCTTCCCCCCCCCCCCCCCCGCTTTAATCTTTATTATTTTCTCTTCACTTTAGTCTTAATTTGCTTTTTTTCTCTTGGTCTTTGTTGTTGTTGTTTTAATTGTGCAATTTGAGGACACTTACTTGAGACCTTTCTTCCTTTCCAAATCTACAATCTAGTGCCCTAGATTTCCTTGTTAAGTCAGTTTCAACAGCCTCACACAAAGTCTGACACATTGTACTTACATTGTCATTCAGATAAAACTGCATTCTAATTCCTCTTTTGATTTGTTCTTGACCCATTGATTATTTTTAAATGTGTTGTTTAATTTCATTATATTTGGAATTGTTCAGGTATCAATTATAGGTATCTATTTAAATCCATTATTTTAAATATGTACTCACTATGCCTTATGTCCTTTTAACATACTGGGTCTTGTTTCATGGCTCAGAATACAACATGAATGTTCTGTGTGCACTTGAAAAGAATGTGTATTCTGTTGCTGTTGACAGAGTTCTGTTGTAATTGGTTGATAATGTTAAGATCTATGTCCTTACTGATTCCTGTCAATGGTTGAGAGTAGTATATTGAAACCTCTGTGTATTTGTATATTTTGTATGTTATAGATTTTTGTGTTCGTATATTATGGATTTGTACATTTCTCCTTACATTTTCTTTTTTGTTGTTGTTGGTGGTGGTGGTGGTTGTCATTGTGGGGCTTGAACTCTGGGTACTGTCCCTCAGCTCTTCAGCTCAAAGCCAGCACTCTGTCACTTGAGCCACAGCCTCACTTCCGGTTTTCTGGTGGTTTATTGGAGATAAGAGTCTCACAGACTTCCTGCCCAGGCTAGCTTTGAACTACAATCCTCAGATGTCAGCCTCATGAGTAGCTAGGATTACAGGCATGAGCCACCAGTGCCCGGCTTTTTTTTTTTTTTTCCAGTCATGGGGCTTGAATTCTGGGCCTGGGCACTATCCCTCAGCTCTTCAGCTCAAGGCAAGCACTCTATCACTTGAGCCACAGCACCACTTCTGGCTTTTTCTGCTTATGTGGTGCTGAGAAATCGTACCCAGGCCTTATGCATGCAAGGCAAGCACTTTACCACTGAGCCACCTTCCCCATACATTTTCATTTTTAACCATATATTTTAAAACGTGTTACTAAACGCATAAACATTTAAGATTATTATGTCCTTTTGGTGAAATAATTGATCTCTTTATCAGTGTAAAACAGCGTTCATTATCAACACTAATATGCTTGGAAATCTTCTTTATCTTATGTTAGTATAGCTAGCTCAGCTCCCTTTTGGTTAGTGTTTATATCTTTTCCCGTTTAGTTATGTTATACAGAAATAATTTCACCCTTGTAGGTCCTGCTTTTTAAAATTTGTTAGAAATCAGAGTCTAAGATTTAGTTCAGAAGGAATTATTCCTAATGCTGAGTTCGGACTTTTCTGAATACTATCACCAATGCCCATGAATTAGAGATTCCCTGTCCTGGCTAGTGAGAACAGCCCTTTGTGAGCACCAGGTATTGTTTTCTCTGTTCTTTTCAGGAGATATTTTTCTGAACTAGGGCCTCTTCTCACATGCTTCACTAATTTCTGCTCACCTGAAGATTTGAAGGGAACTCCTGCAGATCCCCAAACCCTGTTTTTCTGCCTGTGAACTCCAGTTACCACAGTCACCTAATTCTTACCTTAGTCTCAAACTAAAGAGTCTACTAGCCTCCTTGGCAATCCCTTAGTACCATGGTTTGGAACCTCTCCCAGGACATGAAGCTAGGACAGATGTTGCTTCTATCATTTGTTTTTCTTACATCAGGGATCTTTATCCTTTGCCTAATATCCCATTTCTTGAAGTACTATATTCATTTATTTCTGATGGCAAATAATAAGTCTAGTCCCTATTGCTCCACCTTTGCTAGAAACAGAACTCCCTTCATTACATTTTTTCAACATAAAGGAGTTATTCATTACATGTAGTCAAGCTTATTGATTATAGTTTATAACTTTGGTCCCTAGTATATTGTTTACTAATTAAGTATTAACTTGTAGTTTTTTTCCTAGAAATTTCTATGATCTCATTTTTACATTTAAATATTGGTAGCTTCAAAAATCAGTCGGTTCTGTAGTATGACATTAGCAATCTATGTTTTCCATCTAAATCATAATCCACAGTATATTTAGCATTATCATTGAAACCAAAACATTCAGAAGTTTAAAATACAATTTGATGATTGAAAAGATGTTTGTTCTCATAAATTTAGATCATATATCCTTCTGTTTTCCTGAAGGCAATCTCATACTTTGCTTTTAAGCATGGTCTCCAAAAGGCATGTCTTTGATTAAATCTTTGTTCCTCTTTCCTGTTCTTTGATATAAACAGTGAAGGCAAAAAATACTTTGTGAGTTTTCAGTTTGTACTCTCAGCTACCTGTCTGACAGGCAGACTTAGATTACTTCTCTAAGAGTCCTGATGAGGTGCCTTTGTACTCGCTCATTGGTACTCATGACTTGGCAGGACCTCTGCCCAGGATGGCAGGTGCAGTGTTGGCAGGGACATCCTTTTTCCTATTTAAAGCCTTCAGGGACCTGTTACCCTCAGGATACAATCCAAATTTCTTAATACGGTTTAAAAGGCCTTTTGTGATTTTCCTTGGCTTAATACCAGCTGTGTGTTTTCTCCTTCCAGCTCTCCCATCCATCCATATTAAATGAACTACATTTATTTTCCCTAAAAGGGCATGCTTTTTCACTTTTAAGTCATAAACAGGCCAAGTCAGTCTCTTGCATCCTTACATTAAAAGAGTTCAAGCTTTCTTCATAAAAGCCATCAATGGCAACCATTGTGTCATTCCTGTCATTGTAACTTAATGTCTGTCACCCTATTTGACTGGAAACCCTTTAAGGACCAGGACCACATCCCAATCTGTCTCCAACACCTGTCCCAATAGAGCATGTGGCAAGTAGTAAGTGATTCCAGAATGAAAGAATGAGTTGGATTGAGGGGTAGTGGTGAAGAGGCTACTGAGCTACCCATGCTAATGAATTAACTAGACAGATATAGGGAATGATATGCATTGTCACTCAAAGCTATTATTGTGTTACAAGGGAAGGAACATCTCTTAGTACTGTCTTTTACTCTTTTAATTGATCACCTTTTTCTCTTATAGTGAAGCTCACTGGCTCATGTTTTGAGAAAGTAGTCTTATTGGCCAACAGCCAGATATATAGCTTAGTTAGCTAATGGGTTAAGGAAGAAACACTGACTGTACTATGTAAGTGCAAATGTAGAAATAAAAACCATGTGTGTAGCTGGGGGCTGATGGCTCACACCTATAATCCTAGCTTCTCAGGAGCCTGAGATCTGAGGATTAAAGTTCAAAGCCAGTTCAGGCAGGGAAGTCCATGAAATTCTTATCTCCAATGAACCATCAGAGAACTAGAAGTGGAGCGTGGCTCAAAGTGGTAGATTGCTCAAAATGGTAGAAATAGCTCAGGGACAGCACCCATACTATGACTATTAGCCCCATGACTGACAGAAAAAAAAAAATCATGTGTGTGAGCCAGGTACTGGTGGCACATGTTTATAATACTAGCTACTTATAAGTCTGAGATCTGAGGATCATCATTTGAAGCCAGCCTAGGCAGGACAGTCCCATGAGACTCTTTTTTTAAAATCAATTTTATTTATTTTTTATTTATATTGTACCAAGGAATTGGATGCAGGGCCTCATGCTTGCTAGGCAAGCACTCTATCACTAAGCCATATTCCCAGCCATATATAATTTTATTTTCATTTTTATTTTTGGTCAGTCATGGGGCTTGAACTCATGGCCTGGGCATTGTCCCTGAGCTCTTTTGCTCAAGACTAGCACTCTACCACTTTGAGCCACAGTGCCACTTCCCCTGTGAGACTCTTATCTCCAATTAAGCAACAAAAAAAAGCAGAAAGTGGCACTGTGGCTCACATGGTTAGGGGCTAGCCTTAAGCCAAAAGGCTGAAGGACAGCATCTAGCCCTGAGTTCAAGCCCCAGGACTAGCACCAAAAAATAAATTATATATGTATATATATATATGCAATTGAGTGATTTTGAGCAAGATTCCAGAGCCTTGCAGTCATCACCACAATCAGGTCACATTTCATCACTTTGAAGGAAAACCCTAGACCCTTTGGCTGTCGTTCTCCAAACCCTCCTAGGAAACAGTAATCTATTTTCTGTCTCTGTGAGTTACGTGTTTGGGAAATTTTATATAAATGGAGTCATTCAAAGTGTAATCTCTTATGGCTGGCTTGTTTCACTTAGCATAATGTTTATACAATTCATTCGTGTTATAGCAAATACCAATACTTTATTCCCTTTTATAGCTAAGTAATATTCCATTGTATGGATATGCCACAGCTTGTTTATTTGTTAACCAGTTAATAGACATTTGGATTGTTTCCACCTTCTGGCCATTATGAACAATATTGTTACAAGCATTAATGCACAAGGTTTGGAGTAGACATATATCTTCACTTCCCTTGGGTATAAACCAAGAATAGAATATCTGGGTTAATTGTCAATGTGATACAACTCAGTGTTTAAGTTTTGGTTGAATTCATGTTGTTTTCCAGAATGTCTGTCATTTTATACTTGTTCTCTCCAGCATTTTTGGACAGTTTTAACTTTTCCACATCCTCACCTAAATATACATATATTTATGTGTGTGTATATATACATATATGTGTGTGTGCATATATATATATATATATATATATATATATATATATATAGTCATGGAGCTTTATCTCTGGGCTGGGCACTGTCCCTTAGCTCTTCAGCTCAATGTAAGTGCTCTACAACTAGAGTCACAGCACCACTTCCGGGTTTTGGTGGTTAATTGGAGATAAGAATATCACTGACTTTCCTGTCTGGGCTGACTTTGAACCACAATCCTCATATCTCAGCCATCTGAGTAGCTAGGATTACAGGTGTGAGCCACAGGCACTCGGCTTATACTTATATTCTTGATGATAGCCATTCTGGAGAGTATGAAGAAGTGTCTGTTTGACATTTTACTTTTAATTTTCTAATACACTAACAATACTGGGCATCATTACATGTGCTAATGTCATTTGTGTATCTTTGTATAGAAATGTTTATCCAAACACTTGTTCTATTTTTCATTTGGACAGCTTTGTCATTTTAATACTGAATCGTAAACCCCCGATAACTTTAATATTAATTTGTATTTATAATGACTTATAAATGACCTAATTGAACACTTATTTTTTACTATAGGTACTGAAGATTTGTAAATACTCAGAGCTGTCAATGAGAGATACAACTGACTGGGGTATTGGAAAGCAAAGTCATTGCAGGAGTGGCCACCATGCGTAAAGGGGTACCAAAGGACCCAGAGATTGCTGATCTGTTCTACAAAGATGACCCTGAAGAACTCTTTATTGGTTTGCATGAAATTGGACATGGAAGTTTTGGAGCAGTGTATTTCGTAAGTACCTAAAAACAGTCATTCAGGACTTGGAATGTTGCTTAGTGATAGAACGCTTTCCTAGCATGCATCCCTAGTTTTGATTCTTCGGCACCACAAAAACAGAAAAGCTGGACGTGGCACTGTGGCTCACATGGTAGAGCACTAGCCTTGAGCAAAAGAAGCTCAGGAACAGTGCCCAGATCCTGAATTCAAGCCCCAGGACTGGCAAAAAACAGTGTGTGTGTGTGTGTGTGTGTGTGTGTGTGTGTGTGTGTGTGTGTGTGTGTGTGTGTGTGTGTGTGTGTGTGTGTGTGTGTGTGAACTTACATTCAGAAAAGGATAAAGAGAAATATTCTCTGAGAACAGTTGAGATATGAAGTTGCTCCACTTAGAGCATCTCTAAACAGTGGCACTGAACTCTGAGGATATTATTTTTATTAAACTCTCTAGTCAAATATTAAACATGATTCATTGTTTTTATTTTTCATCTTTCCCCCGAATGCAGGCCACAAATGCTCACACCAATGAGGTGGTGGCAGTTAAGAAAATGTCCTACAGCGGAAAACAGACACATGAGGTAAGAGGAGACCACAGCTGTCCAAGCTGATGCATCAGCAAAGGTGAAGGGCTGGTTTTCCCAGCACTCTAGGGTGACCATGAGTAATGATACAGCACAGTGTATATTTCACAGTAACTGGAAGAGAATATCTGCATGATCGCACCACAAAGAAATGGTAACTGTTTGAGGTGATAGATATGATAAGTGCCTTGATTGGAAAATGACACAATATTTTGATATATAAGAACATTGCATTGTACCCCACAAATACATTCAATTACTGTGTGTCTATTAAAATTAAATAAAAGGTACAGAAAAGTAATTCACAAAGTTTTTAAATGTTTCCTTATCACAATTCTTTTTTCCCCTTCTTGTGGAAAGAATAAAAGTTCCTAATAGTTTAGCTTAATTAACTATTTTCCAGAATAGGACATGGACATGTATAATATGAATTTATTATAATACACTTAGTGATGTTTTTGTTACATGTACTCAAACTTCAGAAATAATACAAGTTTAAAATGCTCCATCATTTTTGAAACATTTACCACATGCTCATTTATAACCACGATGACATTATACATGTACACTTGATAAAATGCTATTTTCAGTTTGAAACTGAAAACATTTCTTTTTTGAGTTTCAATAGAAATGGCAAGATATACTTAAAGAAGTTAAATTTTTACGACAGCTGAAGCATCCTAATACAATTGAGTACAAAGGCTGTTATTTGAAAGAGCACACTGCTTGGGTAAGTCAGAGTCTCTTAAATATTCTTCCTATTGCTTATCAGAACTATAAAAGTCTCAGTCCCATTTCTGATCCATTTGAATTTTGTTACCAGTATTTGACATTTGTTAATACTTCCAAGTGTGTCTTAAGATATACATTCCATAAGATTAAATGATTCCATTAGATTAAGTATAAGGATATTAGAAATCTCCTGTCAACACTCAGCAAATAATGGTGGTGTCTTAATAACAGCATCTTTTTTTTTTTTTTTTTTTTGGGTCCGGTCGTGGCGCCTGAACTCTGGGCCTGGGCGCTGTCCCTCAGCTCTTCAGCTCAAGGCTAGCGCTCTACCACTTGAGCCACAGCGCCACTTCCGGCTTTTTTCTTTTTGCTTATGTGTGCTGAGGAATCGAACCCAGGGCCTTAGGCATGCAAGGCAGGCGCTCTACCACTGAGCCACCATCCCAGCCCAATAACAGCATCTTATAATGTTTTATTTGTGAAAGCAAATGGCAAGGCATTTGAGTCACATCTGAACATTTTTGTCTTACTCATTTTTTTATTCCTCCCCCCGCAACTCCAACTCACACACACACACAAAAAATAGTTGGCAGTGTGTTGGATATTTTAATCTGTGTATTCTTTGTTGTTGTTGTTGTTTGTGGTTTTTTTGTGGATTTTTTTGGTCGTGGGACCTGAACTCTGGGCCTGGGCGCTGTCCCTCAGCTCTTCAGCTCTAGGTGAGCACTTTACCACTTGATCCACAACGCCACTTCCAGCTTTTTCTGCTTATGTGGTACTGAGGAATCAAACCCAGGGCCTCTTGCATGCAAGGCAAATACTCTGAGCCACCTTCCCAGCCCCATCTGTGCATTGTTTAATCACAAGACCAACTGAAAAAGTAATTTGTCCCCCTCTATTGGATATTTTTATATGATTGCATTTCTATTTTTAAGCTGGCTCAATGGGTATCACTTACAACATGAAAATATTAAACTTTGCAGGGTATCAGACTGCACTTCTAATAACTGAAAGTTCAATTAAGTTATGATTCAGTGCTTACCTGTACCAAGTCCTTTCCTATGCATACTCCTTAATTATGGATGGAGTTTTTGTTCTCAAGCAGTATATGTCAACATAAACATTTCCACTCATACAGACCTTAAGATACCTACAACAATTACTTCCATTCTGAACAGAAGAAATTAAACAAAGGAGCATCTTTATATCTGGAAATCAGTTCTCTAGCAATCTCTGATGACTTGGAAGAGTCTAGAATGGGATTTCCATTAGGCAGAATAAATGTTACAAAATCCAGGTTCTAAATCTCATATGTTTCAAGTCTTCAGCAAATCCTGTTTACTTCAGGAAAAGCTGTTTACTCTTAGATTACTTAGAGTGCTAATAAGCTTGGTTACCTAGCTTCTATCTATAATTGGTCTGATAAACTAATTAGAAGGTGACCCTAGGAATGGAGCTTCAGGAGAAATGCATACAAATGGGTTCAAGAATAATCTGCCAGGAGGAAGAAGCTAGTACAGCTAGAAGCCAGACCAGTGATTGTAAAGGTAGAGCAGCTGGAGTTTCAGAAGCACAATCTACATTTTTCATATTATGGAGTAACAAAACAAAGAATATCTATAGCAAAAACATTGAAAATTTTAACATATAACTTTAAAAATATACACACTGAACATATTCCATTCAGTTTTGAAGTTGTATACAAATGGTCCCTGACTCTGAACAGTTCACTTTCAGAGTTTTCAGCTTTATAGTGAACATTCAATAAAAACCATAATCTGGATTTTGAATTTTTTTTGTAGTACTGGAGTTTGAACTCAGAGCTTTGCACTTGCTGGACAGGTTCTTTACTGCTAAGCCACACCTCCAGCCTTTCTTGCTTTTTTAAAATAGGGTTACATTTTTTTTTTTTTTTTTTTTTTTGCCCCAGCTGGCCTGAACCATGATCCTCCTATTTATGCTCCCATGTAGCTGGAATAACAAATATGGATCACAACAACCAACCATGGGTTGAGATCAGATCTTGTGAATTTTTTTGCCCTGGTGAACTATCATCCTCATCTCTACCTTTGGAGTAGCTAGTTATAGGCATGAACCACCACACCTGGCCTGGATTTGAAATTTTGTTGTTTTGTTTTTTCCCCAAGCTAGTGATGTGTAGTACAGTAACTCTCCATTCATGCTGGGCAGTGGTAGCAAGCTCCAACTCCCTGTCACCTCATGATGACAAAGACAGCCAGCATTCTGAAGATGCTGTTATCCCTAACAGACATATTCCATGGAAACCAATGTAGCCCCTGACCTCATTTCCCTGGGGGGAGGTGTTGTTCCAAGAATCCCAGTGAATTCCTGAACCCATAAACAATACCAGTCTCTGCTTATAGTTTGATTTTCCCCATGCTTATACATCTGTGATAAGGTCTACAATTTTAACATTTGGCACAGTAAGATATTAATAGCAGTTGCTAATAACTAACTAATAAACAGTAAAGCATTTCCAAATGTATACTTCAGTAAAATTACAAACAACCTCTCCAGTTGTAATTGGGAGCATCATTGAATAAACTGAGGTTTAGTTGAACATGGCACTGAAGCACTGTGAAAGCTGATCTGAAAGTTGATTTGATAACCAAGATGAGTGCTAAGTGACTATGGTGGGTGGTATATATAGAGGGGATACACTGGATGAAGGATGACTCACTTCTTTAGCAGGACAGTGAGACAGATTTCATCATGCTACTCCAAATAACATCCAATTGAATACTGATGTATTATTCATTTTTAGAATTTACCATTTAATATTTTTGTTCCAATTTTTTTACTTTGTTACAGTTGGTGATGGAGTATTGCTTAGGCTCTGCTTCTGACTTGTTAGAAGGTAAGCTCTGTAAATGAAAGCACTGGATATACCCTCCTTTCTGTTTTACTTTGGTCAACACATTATTTGTCCCTGTAGTAAAGTGCAGTCTGGAGTAGTCCACTTGGATAAGGATAAGGATAGTACTGGTAAGCTATGCAAACTACATCCTGCACTATCACTGAAGCATCACATGATGTTAACACCTCTCCTGCCATTCATTCATGGCCCATCCACGGCAGGTCCTGATAAATTATTGGGTTAATATGATGTGGCATGTATGTAATCAAACACATCAAATGCCTGCATACACGTAACAGAGAGTTAAGAGTTAACAAATATATTGATATTTAACCCCTTCCAATATAGCAACTGACCCAATTCTTCTCTGCAGATGTTGTTATAACCAGAAGCTATGTTACAATTTTACATTAAAATATGTCTTAGATCATCCTTGATCTCTGAATAGAAATTGCTTATTAGCTGCTTTCACAAATAATGAAAACCTGTGGTTAGAGGGGGTAATTATAGATGGCTCTGTGGTAAAGAAGAATAATGTGACCTAGAATACTCCAGGCATCTAAAATATCAGAAGGACATGTGGTACATTCACACCACACCAGTTGGAAGCAGTGTGGCATTAACTGGCAACTGACTGATAAATTAGCAATGTATTAATGAATATTAAAGTTTTATTGTTTTGTTTTGAGGGGTGGGTCTGTTTTGTTTCTTGCATTTGGTTTTTATCTGATCATGAATTGCTATTCTCTAGAAAATATATACCCTATGTATTTAGGTAAATATTATTTCCACATCTTCAAATGACGAGACATGTGATCAACTTTCCCTTCCTCCTTCCTCAGTTCATAAAAAGCCACTTCAGGAAGTGGAGATTGCTGCCATTACCCATGGTGCTTTGCAGGGGCTAGCCTATCTACATTCTCATGCATTGATTCACAGGTAAGGTTCATTTTCCCTTCTCTTACAGGACCCTCTCTTCCAAGATCCTTGAAAACTAGTGCAAGCTCTGACTTTCAGGGTACCTAAGAATTTATGGGAAGCAAACAGATGTTACTATTCTTGGATATAAGGAATTAGATTGCCAAAATTTGCCTCCATCTTCTGGCCTTTCCCATTCATCCAAAAAGATTTCTGTCATATCTGTTCTATAGGTTAACATTCTCTAGGCTAATCATTCAGGGAAACTCAAGAAGAGCCTAGTAACTCTGGATAGAATGTCACACACAAAAAAAGGAAAATCCACCTTTCTTTGATACCTTTATTTCTCAGCTGAGTTTCTTCTCCTGTTGAAATAACAAGTTAATCATCTATATACAGATGCCGTTTCAAACACTTTACATTCCTAAAGTCTACATTTTGGTGGGTGAGAGATTAAAGCTCAGAAAGATGTAAATAATGTGCCCATTATTTCAGAGCATTAAAGTAATAGAGTAAGAACTACAGCTCAAACTTCCTTACTCCTAATCCAATAATCTACTGGTTTCTTATCCATTTTCTTTTCTTTTCTTTTTTTAAATTTATTTCCTTCCTTCTGGCTGTGTGTGTGTGTGTGTGTGTGTGTTCTTTTTTTTTTGTCAGTCATGGGGCTTGAACTCTGGGGTTGGGCGCTGTCCCTGCACTCGTTACCTCAAGGTGAGCGCTTTACCGCTTGAGCCACTTCTGGTTTTCTGGTAGTTTATTGGAGATAAGAGTCTCACGGACTTTCCTGCCCTGGCTCGCTTTGAACCTCGATCCTCAGATCTCAGCCTCCTGAGTAGCTAGGATTGCAGGCATGAGCCACTGGCGTCTGGCAAAAAAATCTTTTTCAATTATTTTGATTCATGAGGAGTTAAACCCAGGGACTCATGCATGCTAGACAAGCACTCTACCACAAAGCCACATTCCCAGCCCCCTTCCTTCTGTTTTGATTGGTGTTGATGTTTTAATCCAGGGCCTTTTGCAGTTGATAAGCCAGTAGTCTTACCACTGACCATCCGGCTACTCTCCACTCCCCCTCCTCCCTCCACTAACTTCTCCTGAAGAAAGCTGTTATTAGTGGTCAGTCCTTCTATAGAAAAGAGCTCCTAGCTGTGACTTTCATGAGTGGTAATAGCAGAATAGCTCCAAAATGCAAAGGACTTGAGATGCCTTGCAACCAAGGGAAACACTTGGCATTTACTAGGAAGAAGTGAAACTATTAGGTCACAGTTCCCCCTTTAGGTGTTTCAGAAGTCACCTGACAGTTACTAGAACTACAAGAGCAGAACTTCCTTAATACAGGCCCATCAGATCCTACCTCGAACTGGCCTTAGTCATCACTAGGGAGAATTATGGGGCTGGGAGTGGAGCTCAGAGGTAGACACTTACCTAGTATGACACCAAAGGTCCAATCTCCAGCATTACACAACAAAACTAAATGTGTGTGTGTGTGTGTGTGTGTGTGTGTGTCCTGGTTGCAACTAAATACATTTATTATAATATCTGTATTTGAAGACCTTTTAAAAATGTGTTTCTTTGGAACTGATATGTTATTTCTGAATGAATTATTTGCCTATGTGTCTTTATTACCTGAAGATCCACACTGACTTACTGTTCTATTCTGAATAATACATTATCGTCTTTGGTTTGTAAAAGAAGTTGAAAAGACAAAAAAAACCCAAACACTTAAAGAGTGTTCTTGAGTTTAAAAAATGAATACTATGTCCAATTTTTATTATTTTTATTTAAGAGAGGCAGTTTAGTTTTCTAGTTGAAAATAAAAGAAGAAAAATACTTTTCTGTTGCAAAGAGAAGTAAATAATGCCTTTTTTTTTAGTTCTCTCTGCCAATGTCCAATGCAACCATGAGGAAGGAAACTGCATTTCCAAGGGAAGTTTTTGCAAAGGTTGTTTGAGAAGCATTTGAACTTGACCATTTTCATCCTGGAATAAGTTTTGCTCTTTTTTTTTCTGCTTTATCTTTCCATGGTCCATAAACTTACAGTTCCTGGCTTCTATACTCATTACACCTCATGTCTTTAGAAGACACTTGTGTCTTCTAAACACAAGGAGAACATCCCCATCTTCATTATAAATGACTTTACTGAAGAGTGAATCTTTTAAGTCACATTTTTAAAACTTTTTGGCTGCATAAAAGATCTAATACCTTTAGTCATAAACACTTGCAATTCATTGTCTAACACAATCAAAATGCCACATCCTAACCCTTAATCCTTGTTTGTTTTGATCTTTCAGGGTCTTCCTTTTACTGTACGGTGTTATTTTTAAAACAATACCTTCTATCTAGCATGCACCCTCAAGTGCCTTAGAGTTGCAGTTACAATTAAAAGCAGAGAGAAAGGGTAAAAGGCAAGAAAGAAAAGGTATGTGCACAGTTGAGGGTTACTGCAGGTAGTCAATGCAGAGTCATCAAAGTTTCATGTAAGATTCCAGAATGCTACATAATCTGGAAGAGAAAATAAGAAAGGCAGTTAGAATGGTACCAATTTCTCTACCCAAGGAATACTGCAGTGACTGGATTTAGCATTGAAGAAGATGCTTTTGAAAGGGGTAGCAGCTGAAGAGCTTTCCTTGTCTGCTGTGTCTGCCTTCCTTCTTGCTGTATACCCTCCCTCTGAAGGAAGCTCTATCTTTAAGTAATTACAATGATCTACCTGTAAGTACACCAGGAATCTGGACCCCCCTGACAATGTGCAGTAGTTATTAACCTCCCCTTCTAGCTATCTGAGCAAAATTTGTTGTTGTTGTTGTTTTAAATAAACTTTTTATAATCTTATTAACTGCATGCTTTGACCTATCCCATTACCAAAATTGAGAGATAATTTTCTGATCCTCTTGTTTTTTTCCTCCAGGGACATTAAGGCAGGAAATATTCTCCTGACAGAGCCAGGCCAGGTGAAACTGGCTGATTTTGGATCTGCCTCCATAGCTTCTCCTGCTAATTCCTTCGTAGGCACACCTTATTGGTATGTAGACTTGGAAAATAGACTAGAGTATTGAAATACATACACATGAACAAGATGAAACTCTGGCATTAGTTTGGTGTTGTTTTCTTCTTTGCAATGTGTGTTACGCATGTGCCCCAAATGGGATTTTATTTGTCACAAGCAAACAAAGAAGCACTTTAAGTCCTGAATGTACAACTTAGAATGACTTTAAATTGTTCAAATAAGGGTTGATGTCACTGTGTGTAAACTGAGTAGGATTATCAACTCACTGACCAAGCTCAGGTTTTGGATTTCATTGGAGGTTTCTTTTGAACTTTTCTATCGAGGCAGAGTGTCCAGGTAAGGACACCCTTCTCAGGTGAGCCAACAAGCGTAAGCATTACCTTCTGGTGAATGAACTTCCCATATGCCATCTTCATTCCGACTTTGAAGTTATTCCCTATTCTAGTCCAGATTTCTTGCCTGCCTTTTGTAGCTACATTGGAATTTCCATATATCTTGGAGAATGATTTATATGCTGGGAAATGAATTACATACGAAACAAACCAGCTGCTGTTTGAATTTTTTCCCATACCATCAAATAGCATTTACCAAGCAACTGCTTCTACACAATGATAGAATATAGTTCTCTCCAAAGCATGTTAAACTGACAAGGCCCCTACCCTCCTAATGAAAGGACATTTGTGACAAACAAGCAAAGTGACACTTTATTACCGCAGCCTGCTTTGTAAGTTTTGGTCTTTAGAATCACTAATGGCTTTATTTTCATTTTAATTTATATGTGCTTTATATATGCAAACTCTTTACCCAATTCTATAAGGTAACTACTAGAATTCTCTCCATTTTTATGGATGAAGAAACTGATGTGCAAGCAGGTTACTTACCCAAGGTCAAACCAATAGTAAAGAGTAAAACCAGGACTTACTGAAAATAATGTATTATTGCATATAAATCACTAAGTATATTTTACATTTTGAATATTTTTCAGAATGATTGGTATAAAAATAGCTGTATCAGGTAAAATTATTTAGTGTGCTTAAGCACATTTTGGTACTGAGCCACTTTATAAGGGAAATGTATTATTTATTTATTTATTTATTTATGCAGGTCCTGGGGTTTGAATCAGGGCCTGGGCTCTGTCCCTCAGCCTCTGTGCTCAGGGCTAGCACTCTACCACTTGAGCTACAGTGCCACTCCTGGCTTTTCCTGTGTATGTGGTACTGATGAATGGAACCCAGGGCTTCATGCATGCTAGGCAAGCACTCTACCACTAAGCCACATTCCCAGCCCTGTTTTTAATTTTTGACCTGAATTTTACATGTTCTCTTTGGTAGGATGGCTCCAGAAGTGATCTTAGCTATGGATGAAGGACAGTATGATGGGAAAGTTGACATTTGGTCCCTTGGGATTACCTGCATAGAACTGGGTGAGTAACAAGCTATTTTCTTTATATTTTTTGGAATCATACCTCATGATTGTCCTATGACTCATCCAGCTGTTAGCTAGATTACAGACATGAGCCACTACACCCAGCTATCTTGTCTAGTTTACAGGGTGAGTACTTATGCTTTGTAGGACTCTCCTTTCTTGCTCAACTCTGAGCTGTACTACTGTTCTCATTGCATCACCAAGCTTTGTTGTTATTTGGTTGTATTATATTCTTTCTAATTATCTTTTTTTCTTTCTTTGGTCATGAGCCTTGAACTCTGGGCCTGAGCGCTGTCCCTCAGCTCTTCAGCTCAAGGCTAGTGCTCTACCACTTGAGCCACAGTGCCGCTTTTGGTTTTCTGAGTAGTTTATTGGAGATAAAAGTCTCACGGACTTTCCTGCCCAGGCTGGCTCTGTTTTCTTTCTTTAGCACTATCCCTAACATTTTTCTTATGCAGCTCAGTGTCCTGAGAGCTTAGATTTTTACCTTTGCCCAGTGAATGAAGTGCTTCCTGTTGCCTGATAGTGGCTGAGGCCATCACTTAATGTCTGACATTGGGCATTTTTGTGACTGCTTGCTGCATGAAGATTCTCTCTTAACAAAGCATCTTTGCTTTATTGTTTTGTTTTTTTTTTTTCATTTTTTTTGCCAGTCCTGAGGCTTGAACTCAGGGCCTGAGCACTATCCCTGAGCTGCTTTTACTCAAGGCTAGCACTCTACCACTAATCCACATTCCCATCCCTTCTTTTCTTTAATTTGTTTTGACTATATCCATTTCTTGAGCAGATATTCTGGGGCTGCCTCCTGTGAACCAGGTGCTATTCTCAGCACTAGGGATGCAATGATGAAAATAGTAAACACTGTCACTGCACTTGTGATATTTAGCACAGAGGACACCTGTGATGTAAAGTCTTACACCATTACAGGGATTATAAAATGTAAAGCCTTATACCATTACAGGGATTATAACATGGTAGAAAGAACAAACCTAATTCACAGTGACAAAAATCTGATGGGAGATATATGTTGAGAAATCAGGAGAGGCCTCCCTGAGGAAGTGATTGCAAATATATATTAAGCCCTGAATAAATACTTATGAAACTACTGCAGAAATAAAATTATATTAGAAGTGAAACCTGAAAGAGCTAGCGCTGGGTTTAGTGCTGTGCCTGTAATCCCAGCTAACTGGGAAACTAAAAGGGGAAGATCACTTGAACCTAGCAGCTTGTGAGCAACCTAGGTAATATAGTGAGTGAAGGCTGTGAATGGAGAACTGTGGATGGAGGGGGTATAGGCTGGGGTATAGGAGTATAGCTCATTGATAAAGGTACCTGCCTAACATGTGCAAGGCTCTGTGTTCAATTCCTAGAACAACAACAACAAAAAAAGCCAGATAAAATGTAGGGAATGAAGAGGGAAGGGAGGGGCTTAGATATAGAAAGCAGAGCCAGTGGGAGTGTCTGAGCTTGGTTCCTTCAGTGAAGATAAAGATGACAGGAAAAAATGGAGAAAGAACAGGTTTCTCAGAGGATGCTCTACAGGTAGGTAGTCAGGACCATGTCTGGAGGACAGTGGTTTGAAGTCAGCCTGTGCTGAAAAGTCCTCAGGACTCTATTTCCAGCAAAAAGCAGGGCTAGAGGCATGGCTCAAGTGATCAAACACAAAGCTTTGAGTTGAAATCCCAGTACTATGGAAGAAGGAAGGAAGGGAGGAAAAAAAGAAGGGAAGGAGGGACAGAGAAAGGGAAGGGAAGAGAAGGGGAAGAAAAAGTTAAGTTGCAGAGTTTCTCTCTATAATGGGTAGGACCAGACTGTGTGTGTATTACTTATCCTCTACTTCCTACCTCACACCTCCCCGCCCCTTCCCCAACAATGATTTGGCCTAGATGAGCTGCCGAACTCTTCACTGAAGAGGATTATCTCCCATATATGTTAATGAGGTTTCAAGTGTTCCATTCCATAAAAATATTTTTTCTATTCTGCTCTCGTAAATAAGTCCATATTTATGTTAAAGCATATACATGCATGAAGATGTTTATACCTATTATAGGAAAGTAGGCAATGGTCAGTGTTCTGAGATTTATGAAAAAGACACAAGAAATTTTTCTCACACCATTTGAAGCAGGCTGTGTTAGGAGCTTTGCCAATGTCCATTAAAAGACCAGCAGTCTGTGAATGGCTATCCTGGGCTGACCTTCGAGATTAAAATAAGTGGGTCGTGTGGCATGATGACAGTAATGAGCTGTCTATCGATTGGGAAGCCAAGCTTTGCACAGAGTTCCTTATGTCTCTCTCTCTGCCTGGTCTCTTTCCTGAATGGCCTTATCATGTTTCTTCCCTTGCAGCGGAAAGGAAGCCCCCACTTTTCAACATGAACGCAATGAGTGCTTTGTATCACATCGCTCAGAACGACTCCCCCACCTTGCAGTCCAGTGAATGGTAAGACTGCTGTCCTTCTACATCTCCAATAAAATGCTCCTAGCAGCTGACAGTCTCATTAAATTGCAGTTTCTATAGCTGACCCTTCATTGTATGTCACAGCCAGTGACACTGATGTCCCACAAGCAGTGTCTTTACACCTGTGGTGCTATCAGGAAGCACATGTGCAGTTTCTAGTTCTGCCCTTTACCTGGGCTGGTGCTGTGTCCCTACTGTGTACAGCATCTGAAATCCCAGGGGAACACACCCTGCCACCTAGCCTCACAAGTCTTGCCAGTCACACCCTCATCAGCCCCATTTATCTTTCCTAATTGTCTTTAGTTTACTTTAAGTAAGAAGAGGGACAGAATGTTTAGTACGATTAGGGAAATGTATTGTTCCTTCCCCCAAAATATAACATCTACATAACATGGAGGCCACAAAAGTTCTAGAAAGCAGACAAAGTGGGGTTTTCAAGACAGAAAGTAATTTTCTTCAGAAATTATATCCCTAGGTCCTCTATGCCTTGTGCCTCTGGGTTTGCTCCCTTGTTAGGACAGGGAGGAATATTAACTAGACATGAAGAATATGGACTCGACAACATGAGGGTTGTTACCTCTTAGGAGAAGAATGCACTGAACAATTATATATTAGTGTAGTGTGGTGGTTTTCATTTTCTGATATGCATTATGGTTTAACCTAAGTATGCGCCCTTATATGTGACTGTGTGTGTCCATGTTGACTAACAATGTCATCCAGAAGAATTAACCTCAGGTACCTTAAAACTTTGAGAACATGGAAATATTCCTGTTCTCTTAAGATTCCAAACCACTGGATTTTAAAATTTTCCTAACATGCACAAGTTTGTCTAGAATGAAGTTGTTTTATATAATCAAGTGCTCACTCTGCAGCCCCTCATTTGGCCTTCTTTTCATATATTCCCACACAGGACAGACTCCTTCAGGAGATTTGTTGATTACTGCTTGCAGAAAATACCTCAGGAAAGGCCAACATCAGCAGAATTGTTACGGGTAAATTTTCAGTTATATTTGAGATGGAAGTGTTAAAGTCCCACTGTGGGGGGACTTGGTAAATCATTACTGTGTCAGGGCATCCTGGCAAACTAGGTTAGAATGTCCCTTGTCATTTACCCAGAGATGGCAGTAGGCAAAAAAACAGCAAGATCACCGTGATGTATGTGCCATAAATTCCCTATGGGTTGCTTACCCTTTACTTGTCCTTTTTCCCATTCCTCCCCTCTTTTTTTTTTTCCTTCAATAAAGATTATTCTTAGCCAGGTGCTAGTGGCTCACACCTGTGATCCTAGCTACTCAGGAGGCTGAGATCTGAGGATCATGGTTCAAAGCTAGCCAGAATAGAAAAGTCCATAAGACTCTTACCTCCAATTAGCCACCAAAAAGTCTGGAGTCGAGTTGAGGCTTAAGTGGTAGAGCAAAAGAAGCTTAGGAAGTTCGCTCAGACCCTGAGTTCAAGCCCAAGGCACATACACACACACACACACACACACACACATACACACACGCTCACACACACAAGAGTATTCCCTACTAGCTGTGGTCATCATAGTGATGTTTCTGTGCCTAACAACATAGGCATAGATTTTAATGCGATACCCTTAGGTCTGAGTCTGTCAGGGGTTCGAGTGCCAAAGTTGTTGCAGATCTTTCAGCAGTGAAGGTGCATGGCTGCCAAAGCATACATTTATATGACATTACACTATAGGCGATAATGGCAAGAATATCACGTGAACCACATCCGTTGATTGAAACATAATTTTCAGTATCTCTCTGTGGTGTTTTTCTATGTACGGCTATAAATTTCACACATGTGGTCCATCACCATCAGCACAATGTGTGGATCTCCTGCAATATTAATATATGCAGCACTCCAGATTTGTAATCTTTTTCTTTATATGTGGTCTTCAACCCTGTTTTTTGTTTGTTTCACTCCAAACTGGCTGGGTTTTATTCCTGAACAGTTTTGATTATTGTTTGTTTGTTTTTAAGAAAAACTCAGAAGGCCTCTAAATTTGTAAAGCTTAAAAATGTCAGCTGTCTTTATCATTGAATAGCACCTTGTCTGGGTCAGGGATTTATGTTTTGTTTTGTTTTCTTCTTTAGACCCTGTAGACATTGTTCTCTGATTTTTCTGTCTTTGCGTCTTAGTGAAAAAGTAGATCTGAAGCCAGCTCACCTAAGAGTAAAGGGTTTTTTTTGTTGAGTGTCAGGTCACAGGAATCTGGTAACAGAAGCAACAGGGCCAGACTTGACCCCCTTGTGCCTGAGCACAGGTTCTAGACATGAACCATTTTGTCTACCTGAGCCACAGCTTCACAAGTCTACAGGGAGAGACAGCAAGAGCAAAACACTAGAGAAGAGATGGTATCTGTATTACTTTGAAGTAGACAAAGATTTTTAAAACAACCAAACAAGAAATGGGAAATGAGAAAAGAGCTACCATGGCTAAGGATGGGTGCAGGGTATGTAAACAAATATTGGTTATATTAAAATATGGGAAGAGAAAAGAGATAAAATTTAGGAAAGTGGACAACAAAAAGATAGAACTAGCAAGTGTTCTGACCAAAGAAAAATAGAGAAAAAATAATAACAAGCTAAAATTATATTATAAATGCTGAAGAAATATAGTAAACCAACCCATCAAGGGCTTTTCCTGTGATAGATAAACTTAAGTAATTAAAACAAAATAACAGGGTTGAGAAGGTGGCTCAATGGTAGAGTGCTTGCTTTGTATGCATGAGGCCCTGGATTCGATTCCTCACCACCACATAAGGAGAAAAAGCCAGAAGTGGTGCTGTGGCTCAAGTGGTAGAATGCTAGCCTTGAACTGAAGAGCTGAGGGACAGCCCCCAAGCCCAGAGTTCAGGCCCCATGACCGGAATAAATAAATAAATAAATAATTTTTTTTTTAAAAAAACACAAAAGACAAAGCTCCACAAATTATTATAACTATTATTTATTCCTCAATAATCTGTCTTTTCTTCACATTTCTTCCTGGCATTAAAATACCATTCAGGCACCAGTGGCTCATGCCTGTAATCCTAGCTACTCAGAAAGTTGAGTGAGATCTGTAGATAACAGTTCAAAGTGAGAGCCTGGCCAGGAAAAGTGCCAGCACCAGAAAGTATCCAGTACCAACACACACACACACACACACACACACACACACACACAATTGGATATTTCTGCAAAACTCAGAACTGTTTATATTTCCCTATTTGCTTTTATACCTACATCTTACACCTCAGATAGCAGTTTGTTCTTTCTCCTTCCTGAAACAGCATGACTTTGTTCGGCGGGAACGGCCACCTCGAGTCCTCATTGACCTCATACAGAGGACCAAAGATGCTGTGCGTGAGCTGGACAACCTACAGTACCGGAAAATGAAAAAAATCCTCTTCCAAGAGACTCGAAATGGACCCTTAAATGAGTCCCAAGAAGATGAAGAGGTAGGTATGGCTTACTCCAGCCTACCCTCACAGAATGTCCACCATGTGAGAACTTTCTGGATAGAAGGAATACTTTTGAAGATAACCCTGCAGGTACACCCTGAAGAGACATGCAGGGATCCTAGTAGACATAGAACAACTCTCATGTAAGGCACATGGACATTGAGGGGTCCTTAATGGAAGACAAATAGGCAGCATTGGTGCAGGTGACACCTAAGACATGATGTGAATGGTTTTTGACAAAGTAACAGTGACAATGAGGAATTTAAGGTAATTTAACACATGAGCCTGGGTGGCTTAGGCATATGTTCATACCAAGAAAAGACAAGAAGTTCTAAGGAGAAAGAGTAAGTTTGGGATGATTTGAAGATGGTGTTTGTTAAGTTCAAGGTCATAGCATCCATTCCTCCTGATATTATGTACAGATGGAAGTTTTCTCGGGCTAGATGGCTTCCTGATTCCTCACACACATAAAAGAATTGGTTGAAGCCAAGAAGATAATGATTGAGCCACCTGAATGGTGATTATGAGCAGTTGGTTGGGATACACAAATATAGAATAGAAGAAAGAAGTCTGGGAATGAGAAAGCTGGTTGGAAGTCAAGAGTCTTAAAGTAGTCATGAATCAAGAAGTTGATAGGGAAGAAGGCCCATGTCATACATGAGCAGATGTTAAGAAAGTTCACAGCTTTAAGTAGCATAATGGTGTCTGATACCAGAGAGGTCAGGTCAAGTGGGTTTTAGAATAGTGTGTCCTTGGTGACCTTTGTTAAAGTAGTTTAATGGGACAAGGGTGGACAAGTAGTAAATTGCTGTGGGTTGTAAAAGGGATAAGAAAATAGAGACACTGGCCTTGGAAGTATGGTTCCATTGGTAGAGTGCTAACCAATGAGCAAGAGTGTAAGGTACTGAGTTTGAGTCCCAGTCTCGGACCAGAAGAAAAGAATAAACAAGAAGATATAGGCATCAAAAGTTATTTTGAAGCCGGGCACCAATGGCTCACACTTGTACTCCTAGCTACTCAGGAGGCTAAGATCTGAGGATCTCGGTTCAAAACCAGCCCAGGACTCACTATCTTGCCCATGTAATTGTAACCCCTCTGTATGGTATTTTCACAATAATAATAATAAAAAACAGCCCAGGCAAGCAAAGTCCATGAGACTCTTATATCCAATTAACCACCAGAAAACTAGAAGTGATACTGTGGCTCCAATGGTAGAGTGCTGGCCTTGAGCTGAAGAAAGAGCTCAGGGACAGTGCCTAGGCCCAGAGTTCAAGCCCCACGACAGACCAAAAAAAAAAAGTTATTTTGAGATTTGGAAATTGAGCTAAGAAGGAAATGTGGGAGGGTTCAGCCTGTGCAAAGTCCCATAGATACGGGGAAGGCTGTTTTATGTTTATATGCAAAAAGTATGGAACTGGGATAAAGACATTGAAGGCAGAGCAAAGAGATGTAAGTAAAGAAGCCAGAAAGAATAGGAATAAGAGGATTACTCCAGGAATTAGTTTTGAGCAAGTTAAAACTAAATAAAAAGGAGTGAAGAATGAATGTATGTTAGCTTTTTAATATAAAACAAAGCAAAATTATTTTACCAGTAATCATAAACACAATACTTAGGAAATAGAGTTGAACTATAAAATCTCTTGATTGCATATGTAGAAATGGGGAAGTTAATTTATTAAAATACAATATACTATGTACTATTTTGTACTACCCAGTGATTCCTTATATTGCCATGACTAAGTAACAATTCATTAAAGTTATCTGTGTATAGTATAGTTCTTTGAAAATGGGGTTTATTTGTAGCTAGGTTGATTTATATTATTTAATCTTATATCTAAAGATATTCCATTGTGATGGATAAATTATACATTCAGATTATTTTACAACTTTTCAAATAGTCTTTGGGCCAACAGTGATGAATGCCAGTATTATTTAACAGATATATTTAATAAGACTACAGAAGAAACAAGATAGAATTGCTTAAGGGAGGCAGAATTTAATTACCTGTCTAGGACAATAAAATTAATATCCCGGCTCAGACATGAAGTTGCCCAATAATGATGCACACAGGAGCACAGAGCTCATCGCATCTCTGAAAACTCCTCATCCCAGTTTGGGTTCAAGTGACCACTGCTATGACTGCAGGTATCCTGCAGGTCACCTGCTTAGTAGCCAGTCATCTCTCTAGCACCTTGATGTGCTCCAGGAGCTCTCACAAACCTGGACTGGTTCTGCTTAGTGGCAGCATCCCAATTGGGCTAGTTGTGTACAATTAAGCCCCGGGATAGATGCATTGAGAACCTTAGGCCCCACATCCAGAACCACACTAGAGGAAGGCATGGAGGTGAATCAGAGTTGCTCCATAATGAGTTTCCCCCTGCAGGTTGGCAGAAAAGCAACCGAACATGCTTAGTCTCTTAGTGGATTGGCATTTCATTTCCAATCTTTTGGTTTCTAACCCTGGTGCCCCGTTTCTCTAGGACAGCGAACATGGGAGCACCCTGACCAGGGAAATGGACAGCCTAGGCAGCAACCACTCCATCCCCAGTGTGTCAGTGAGCACCGGCAGCCAGAGCAGCAGTGTGAACAGCATGCAGGAGCTCATGGACCAGAGCAGCTCTGAGATGGTCATGTCACATGATGAGGAAGGCACAGTAAACTCCAGCTCCTCCATTGTGCACAAGAAGGTAGGTTTCCTGCTGGTCCTTACACTTGGGGTTCACCACCCAGTGAGCCAAGGTTAGCCCACTTGGCTTCCAGATGCTTCCAGTGTCAGTGAGGCCCAGAGTTCAAGTCTCAATACCCACTTTACAACTGAATTGTGGGAGGAAACCCAACACTGACAGTTCTCTTTCCATGAAAAAGTAGCAGAAGACTCTGCAGGCCTTTTTCTTCATCTCCTGTGCCTTTTTCTTCATCTCCTCTGCTTGCTCCCATGTTCACCACCATCAATAAATAAATGTTAAAAAAAAAAAAAAAAAAAAAGCTAAGTCTCACATCACAGAACCCAATTCTCCTTTAAACCGGTACCCTTCAGACTTGCCAGCCATCAAAGCTTCCCAATGGTGACCTATTAATCATGTCTTTTTTCCCTATTTTCTTCCTGTTATCTCTTTTGGCAATGCTTGGATTTAAACTCAGGGCCTCATTTGCAAAAAGCAGGTGCTCTACCTCTTGAATCATGCCTACAACCCCTTTTTGTGTAGGTTATTTTCAAGATGAGGTCTCACTTTATTCATGCTGAGCCAGCCTGAACTATAATCATCCTTATTTTACTTCCATTTGTCACTGAGATCGACAGTAGTAGAGATAGGAGTCTTACGAAATTTTATGCCAAGATTGGTCTCAAACTATGTTCCCCTGATCTCTGCCTCCCACATAGAAGGACCGAAGGCTTAGGCGACCACACTAGCCCTGAAATTCTTCATGAACAAATACTTTTTAAAAAAATACTTTTTAAAAAAAGCTTTTTTCAAAGCAGTTTCTAGAATGTGAATTAGAATTACTAACAATGTTTCTATGTATTTCCCAAAAGTATTTGAGAGGCTTTTGGTAAATAGTTCATCATGTGAAATTAGTAAAGTGTCCCTTCTAATTTTTTCCTTGTTAGGTATAGGTGAGGAATGTGTGCACGTATTTTAATGAGTGATAGCACATTCTCATTCCAGGAAAAAGTGGGTTGAAGTTTTGGGTTTTTTTTTAATTTTTTTTCACTTTAACTTTTATTGGTTGTACTTTTTTCCGGGGAGGAAAAAAGAAATTGAATTGGAAAGAAGGAAAGGCAGGAGAAAATTCACTGGTATCCAGTTGTGAATAGGAGGATTACTTGTTGCTTTCCTAAAGCTGAGGAGCTTAATCATTTACTTAACAAATATTGTTGGGGATCTCTATGTGCCAGCAGCTGTGGTCAACTCTGGAAATACAGAAGAAATGGAACAGACATGGTGTCTTCAAAGAGCTTATCATCATGAGGAAGGCTAAGCAAAGAGTCACACAAATAACTGTATGTCCTTATAAATTTTACTGCACCTAATATGAGGATTTAATCTAGAAGGGACCAGGCACTATTTAGGAGACAGAGACCATGAAAACCTAGGTTCAAGGCCAACCTAGGAATAAAAAATTCAAGGGACCCCATCTCAACCAATAGCCAAGAGCAGTGGCATACCTATAATTCTAGCTACAGAGGAAGCACAATTTCTGGGTACATTGACACATATCTGTCATACCTAGCAATATTTGGAAGCACAAGTAGGAGGATCACAGCCCAGGCCAGCCCTGGCATTGTCAGACAATAACTCAACTATAACCGATACAGCTGGCACCAGTGACTCAGGCCTGTAATTCTACTTTCCTTGGAAGCTGAGATCTGAGGATCATGATTCAGAGCCAGGCTGGGCATATAAATCCATGAGACTCTCATCTCCAATCAAACAGCAAGAGAGCCTGACTGAGGTGTGGCTCAACTAGTAGAGTATCAGTGAGGCCCAGATTTCAAGTCTCAATACCAAAAACAAAATAAATTAACAATACAAAAAGGAACTGAGCTGGAGGCATGGTGTCAAGTGGTAGAGCACATACCTAGCAAACATAAGGCCTTGAGTTCAATCCCCAATACTTACAACAACAACAACAACAAATGGGGTGTTAGTGGCTCACACTTGTAATCCTGGCTAATCAGGAGTCTGAGAGCTGAGGGTTGTGATTTGACTCTTTTTTTTTTTTTTTGCCAGTCCTGAGGCTTGAACTCTGGCCATAGGCTCTGTCCTGAGCCTCTCTGTGCTCAAGGCTAGCACTCTTATCACTTGGGCCACAGCTCTACTTCTGGCTTTTTCTGAGTAGTTTATTAGAGATAAGAGTCTCACAGACTTTCCTGCCCTGGCTGGCTTTGAACCACAATCCTCAGTTCTCAGCCTCCTAAGTAGCTAGGATTATAAGTATGAGCCACTGGCACCCAGCTCCATGAGACTTTTAACTCCAATTAACCATCATAAAACTAGAAGTGGAGCTGTGGCTCAAAGTGGTAGAGTGTCCCTATGCAGACAGTCTCAGGGATAGTGCCCAGGACCAATGAATAAGAAAAAATCACGAGGCTGGGAATGTGGCTTAGTGGTAGAATGCTTGCCTAGCATGCATGAAGCCCTGGGTTCAATTCCTCAGCGCCACATGAACAGAAAAAGCCATAAGTGGTGCTGTGGCTCAAGTGGTAGAATGTTAACCTTGAGCAAAAGAAGCTCAGGCACAGCACCCAGGCCCTGAATTCAAGCCCAGGACTAGCAAAATAAATAAATAAATAAATATTTTTTTAAAAAATCATTGTTTTCCTCAAAAAAACATTGAAAGAAAGAGATACATGGAAGAGAGAAGGACAAAATAAGATGAAAACTTAAACATTGTCTTTTCATGATATTCACTTAGTCTTTACACCTGAGCTTAAAAACAGATATTTTTTAAAAAGAAAACAATGGAAGTATTTTAAACTCCCAGTAGAAAATTTTGTATATTAAACTCTTTTTTTTTTTTTTTTTTGTCGCTCAGCTCTTCAGCTCAAGGTGAGGGTTCCACCACTTGAGCTACAGCGCCACTTCCGGTTTTCTAGTGATTTATTGGAGATAGGAGTCTCACGGTCTTTCCTGCCCGGGCTGGCTTTGAACCGCGATTCTCAGATCTCAGCCTCCTGAGTAGCTAGGATTACAGGCGTGAGCCACCAGCACCCGGCTTTGTATATTAAACTCTTAAGAATGATGAATCTAGGAGCTGGGAAGGTGGCTCAGTGGTAGAGCGCTTGCCTTGCATGCCTGAGGCCCTGGGTTCGATTCCTCAGCACCATATAAGCAAAAAGAAAAAAAGCCGGAAGTGGCGCTGTGGCTCAAGTGGTAGAGCGCTAGCCTTGAGCTGAAGAGCTGAGGGACAGCGCCCAGGCCCAGAGTGCAGGCCCCACGACTGGACCCAAAAAAAAAAAAAAAAAAAGAATGATGAATCTAGTCTGTAGTTCTTTTTTTTTTTTTTTTTTGGGGGGGGGGGAGGGTCTGGTCGTGGGCCTGGGCGCAGGCTAGCGCTCTACCACTTGGGCCACAGCGCCACTTCCGGCTTTTTTCTTTTTGCTTATGTGGTGCTGAGGAATCAAACCCAGGGCCTCAAGCATGCAAGGCAAGTGCTCTACCACTGAGCTACCTTCCCAGCCCTCTAGTCTGTAATTCTGTCTGCTGCTGTCAAATCTATTTTACTTTGGACAGATCACAAACTTTGTGTTCCTTCAGGTTGTGTTCCACCAAGCTCTTTCTAAAATCTTGTATTTCTGTTCCTGTAATCATTCCCCACTCCACCCCTTTGTCTGGTACTAGGTCTTGAACTCAGAATCTCTGGCTCTTACTTGCTTACTAATGGTGCTCTGCCGTTTGAACTACACTTCTAGTTCTGGCTTTTTGCTGGTTATTTACGTGTCTCAGATTTTCCTGCCTGAGATGTCGCTGGACTGAGATCCTCAGATCTCAGCCTCCTGAGTAGCTAGGATGAAAGACAGGAGCCACCAGCACCAGGCAATATTCCTGTAGTCTTGAAAGAAGCAGCTCTCCCCTGCCCTCCTCTGGCCTGGACAAGGCCTGTTTCTCTCATATCAAGAAATGTTGAACCCACTTAGGCATTCCCTTGTAAGTGGATTTTTCAGAAGCCACTAGTACAGTCAGTCCCTTCTACATGAAGATGGATAATAGCTATACTTTATCTCTTGTAGGGTTAGGGGACACTTATCTCAGATTGGATTTTCCAGGAAACCAAGCTGAGACAGTTTAGCCCTGCTGGAGTTCTTTGTTTAATTAGGACAGCCCTTGCGATGAACCCCTGTGAGGGGGGCAGGGCACAACACTGGGCACAACAGAAGCTGAATTATGAAAAAGGCCCCTGCAACCAGCCCCACAGACAGTTCCGGAGCTCACTCAGCCCTTCCATGTTGTCTACACTGGGCAGAAACAGCCCTAGTCTAGATGCCCCAGCCCATATCCATCATGGAATAGAAGCAGGTGTGCTCTGAATCTGAGGCTTCCCCCAAAGGAACTGCTATTAGGAAATGACAGCTAACAGGACCCCCACTCAGCTGAGACCAGAAATGCATCCCAAAATGAGGATCCATGATGCATTTCAGAGTCTATCATAATTTGTGAACACAAAGATTATTTTAGAAGAAATACAGTAGCCTGTTTTTAAATTATCATATAGCATACTGTGTATAGTGGCATATGCCTGTAATCCCTGTTCTTGGGAGGTAGAAATCAAGAGCATTGCAGTTTGAGGCTTACCAGAGAGAAAAGTTAGCAAGGCCCCGATTTCAACCAATAAGAAGCTGGGTGTGGTGGAATATACCTGTAAATCCAACCACACACAAGTATAAATAGGAAGATACCAGGTCAGGCCAGCCTGGGCAAAGAGTGACACCTTATCCAATAACAACAACAGCAACAACTAAAGCCAAGTAAAAGGCTAGAATATGGCTCAAGTGATAGAGTACCTGCCAATTAAACACAAACCCCTGAATTCAAACTCTAGTACTTAAAAAAATATATTGTATAATTGTCTTTTAGCCATTACTTCATTATCCTATTTTATTTTCTTTTTAATCCTTGTCACTATATAAAGGTACATTATGTATTAATTTATTATTTCATGACTAGAATGTGAATTCTACCAGGCA